CTGTTGGTTAGGATCCAGAACTGTTGGTTAGGATCCAGAACTGTTCGTTAGGATCCAGAACTGTCCTTTAGGATCCAGAACTGTTGGTTAGGATCCAGAACTGTCCTTTAGGATCCAGAACTGTTCGTTAGGATCCAGAACTGTTGGTTAGGATCCAGAACTGTTGGTTAGGATCCAGAACTGTTCGTTAGGATCCAGAACTGTCCTTTAGGATCCAGAACTGTTCGACCCGTTTATTTCAGCTCCACAATCCAGAAAATATTTCTTCATTTAATCATAAAAATTCCACCTTTAATTATTTTAAATATTTTTTTTCTCCAGGAAGTGAAAAGTATTGGCTCCTCCCACAACAGGAGCGCCCTGCCGTTCGCCGGGTTTGGACCCGGGCCCAAAGTCGTCACAAACCAGTACAACAACCCGTCTGGACTCTACTCCTCACAGAACATCCAGAACTTCAACACAGCCGTGGACGAAGTCAAAACTGGAACCGGAACTGGAGCCCCCGCCCCCGAGACCAACAAGTGAGTCCTGCTCCGGACCGGGTCCAAACCCAGAACAAAGTCTGACCCGACTGAGTTCAGCTGGTTTGGTCAGAACAATCTGTCCGTTTTACATTCGTTTAAAGGTTTAATAAACTCAAACTGTTGTTGAAAACTATTTTTATTCAGATTAAATACTATAAAAAATATCAAAACCAGAAAAAAAATCAGTAAAATGTAGAAAATAGAGCAGTGGAGTAAACAACAACAACAACAATTAAATACAAAACAATAAGTAACTTATAAAAATAACCATAATAAAGGGATTATAAATAAACTAATTGAAGGGTTAAATAAAAATAAACTACAAACAAGTGGAAATGAGAATTATATAAAGGATTAAATTTAATGAGGGTTTAGCTGGAAGTTTTCTAACTCTGGTTGGGATTGGCTGACTTGCTGCAGATGATCCCGCCCACCTTCAAATTAAACCAATAGAAAACGACCAACAGCTTTGTGTCGGTCCCAGCAGTCTTCAGCTGGACAGAGGTGATGAAGTCATCTTAGCGGTTAACGTTAGCTTCCACTCAGTTTAGGGTTAGCTTCCACTCAGTTTAGCGTTAGCTTCCGCTCAGTTTAGCGTTAGCTTCCGCTCAGTTTAGCGTTAGCGAAGCTAAGCGTCTTGTTTATTGGATCAGAGTTTAGTAAAGCTAACGTTTGGTTAGCTGTGCCCACCACAGGGTGGAGGTTCTTTGGGTTCCAGTCTTGTCAGTTCTGACATGGAACCTGGTCTCTGCAGAGCTCCTTCAGAACCGTCGGCGGCACCGAAGCGACCCCCGATCGCCGCCGACTCGGAGGTCTACAAGATGCTCCAGGAGAACCAGGAGTCTGAGGAGCCGCCGCGTCAGTCCGTGTCCTTCAAGGTGCTGCAGGAGATCCTGGGGACAGGTACGCTCACCTGTTCAGGTCTCGTCACGTCGCCTCCTCCTTCTGGATTTAAAATATTTAAAGTTTTCTGTTTGCAGGCGACTCTGAGAAACCTTCCGGCTTCAGGAGCGTGAAAGCTCCGACTACGAAGATCGGATCATCGGTGGGAAACACGGACAAGCTGCCCACCTGTGACAAGTGTGGCTCTGGGATCGTGTAGGTTTTTATCTTTTATCAAACTTTAAGACGTTTTTTATCTTTATCAAACGTTAAGAAGTTTTTATCTTTTATCAAACGTTAAGAAGTTTTTTATCTTTTATCAAACGTTAAGAAGTTTTTATCTTTTATCAAACGTTAAGAAGTTTTTATCTTTTATCAAACGTTAAGAAGTTTTTATCTTTTATTCACTGAAGACATGAAGGTTTGTTTTGAACACCATTTGTTTTAAAAGAGTCGTTAAAGTCACAGTAAAAGTTCTGATGGGTCTACCCCAGGCCTGGGACCTGATCAGAACTAAAACTATACTTTGTCTCCATCTTGTGGCTGAACATAAAGTTACTAAATGTTTAAAAGTTCACAGGATACTTCATAAATCAAGTTTTACTTTGATACAAATCTGACAGAAGCTGAGAGTTTTTAAAAAATAAATAAAAAAATGTAATAATTTTTTATAAAAAACTAAATGCAAAACTCATTCAGTCCTGAACCTGAGTGACGAGAGGACAGATGGTCCTGTCAGTCGGGTCAGAATTGACCTCTTTCTCCAAACTGAGGGGTTCAAAGAGCTATCTGCTGCAGGTAAGATACTGTTTATCAGCTCTCCTGCTTTAAAATGTCCCTTTAAAGACAGTCAGGAGGACAAACTCTACAGATAAACTCACTTTTCACTAAAATACTTGAACCTTAAACCAGTTTTTGACCGACCTGGTGTCCACTCAGCACAGGGAGTTTTCTGGACCACATGTGGTGCGGGTCAGGCTGTCATGGCTAATGCTAATGCTATGGGCTAATGCTAGCTGCAGATATGAGCTGTAACTGTTTTAAACTAATTCATTGCGACGTTTCAATATCACATTATGTGACTCCTGTTTTATTGTCGGATCAAAACTGAAAGTTTCACAGTTTTAGCTTTAGAAAACAAAGCATTTTATGGCCACGCTTAACTTTAACTCCCAGAAAAAAATTGTTTCATTCAGTAATGATGTATTTTTTTATTTGTTCTTCTTTTGATTTGTTTGTTTATTTGTCCGTCTTGAAACTGTTGAGGGTTAAAGTGAGCGCTCGTGCAGATTTAACTGAAGCTGAAGCCTGATCTCAGCACCGCGCCGCTCTTGTTTTATATTTTAGTTAGATTTTCTCTGATTTAAAAGGATTTCTGTTTGTATTTTGGCCCCTCAGGGGGATGCTGGTGAAGCTGAGGGACAAGTTCCGTCACCCGGAGTGCTACACGTGCACGGACTGCGACCTGAACCTGAAGCAGAAGGGACACTTCTTCGTGGAGGACCAGATCTACTGCGAGCAGCACGCTCGAGAGCGGACCACCCCACCCGAGGGCTACGACGTCGTCACCGTCTTCCCAAAGTAGAGCCGCCAGCTACCGGGCCTGGGACTGACCCCGAGACCCAGGACTCAAGACCCAGAGACCCAGGACTCAGGACCTGGTCCTCCATGTCGTTGATTTGCACAAATCTTTTTAAACCTGATTGGATTGTTTCTAAGTATTGGAGCCGCTCCATGTTTCACAGTTTTTTTTATATGCTTCAAATAAGTTCCCTGAATAAAAGTTCATGTTTTTAATGAAAGAAACATTTTTATACAAAAAACATCAAACATACCTGCCAAATAAATAAATAAATAAATAAACATTCCAACAAATTGTTCTTTGTTTTTAACATTAAAACAAGAAGAATTGAACAGATCTAAAGAGAATTTTTACATATTTGATTATAGATCCTGAAAATCTCAGCAGAGACTCAAACTGTGACGAGTTTGGCTGAGGACGACTCTCAGCTACTACCACACATGATTCATGGTTTAATGTGGGKGAAGTATCCATCAGCTGTTTAAATTGAGGCGACTCTAAAGCTGATTTCCTTCAATACATTGATTCACAAGTTATTTTGCTAAAACAGGTAAAGTGATCAACCATCTCCTCTAGTTTTCCTGGCAGTCAGGGGGTCCAGGTGGTCCTGACACGAGTTCCTTCACAAACTGACTTGAAGTATAAAACAGGAAAAACCTTCGGCTCGCCTTCTGGGAATGCCTCACTGCCGGTTTCATCGAGGTAACCGTGAGAGTCTGATGGAGATRAGTCCCAGTCCACAGAGGAGACGCTGGATGGACCGCTCAGACCCGGTAGCCCCTGCGGACCATCGGCCAGGCGCAGAGTCTGGGTCAGGGCCCAGATGTAGTTGCGGGCGAAGTGGAGCGTCTCGATCTTGGTGAGCTTGGCGTCRTCGGGCAGCGCCGGCAGGATGTCCCTCAGGGCGTCCAGGGCCGAGTTCAGGTTGTGCATCCGGTGGCGCTCCCGGTCGTTGGCCTTCAGTCTRCGCCGCCGCTGCCCACTCGGCCCACCCTGCTTCAGGGGTCTTGCAGAGTTCTGCTGTTTCGGGGACGAGTTTTCACCGGAGTTTTGGACAGAAAACCTGCAGGACGTCTCTTCAGGTGTGCGGCTGGTTTTAGGAGACATTCTGTAAAAACCAGAACATGGATCAGGTTCAGGTCCTGCGTTGGGGTCCCCACACGGGGTGCCACATTAAACATTACAAATATATTACTATATATATATTTTTTTTAATTTTTAGCAGTTTAATAACGTCTGTTTTCAGATCAAATTTTTTAATTTATTATTTAAAGCAGGGGTCTGCAACCTGCGGCTTTGGGCCAGACATGGCCCGTCTGAGCCTCTGAAATGGGTCCCTATAGCTGACAGAACCTGAAGCTAAATCTTTTGTTGTCAGAAATTTAAAATAGAAAACACTAATGTTATCCTGCTCTAACTATTTTAAATACTTGAAAAAAATGTCAGCAGTGAGAACGAAACAAAGTCAACTTCCTGTTTGAACAGATGAGTCGACGTATCTGTCAAAATAAAAGCTTTCCGTCGTTACTCATGTTTTTATTAAATGCGTTTAAAACTCAGTGATCAGTTTTACTTTTCTCCATCTGAAAATTCTGATTCTAAACATTTACGCAGAACAAAAACTAATTTTTGCACGTCTATTATGATGCCAAATAAACTGCATTATAGCGCGACCCCCCCCCCCCCAGCACTGAAAGGGGCGGGACAGAAGGAGGAGGTGGTTCTTAAATGGACAGAGGCCAATTTCAAGGCATTTAGAAGAGGAAGTGATGAGAAGACAAGTTTATTTTCTATTTAAACATAAAAACAGCATTTTAATAACAACTAAAGGTGACATAGATACTTTATTATGGTATAGTATTTAAATATATGCCTGAGAAACACATAATAGTGCCCCTTTAAAACATTCTAATTTAATATTTAGCTAATTAAATGCACAAAGGTTACGCTTTTATCACAAAACTTTAAGGTCTGCGTTTTTTAACAAATTGTTGTTCACTTTTTCTTGTAGGTTAAAAGTTCATTTTCAAAACAAAATTTTAAAGAGCATTTAATAATCAGGCATGTTCTGTAGAAACTTTATTTAGTAGAAAAAACTGTTGGTTTTTAAACTTTCATGTATGGAAACATGAAAGACTTTTTCACAAAAATTTCAAACCTTATTTAAAAAGCTTTTCTTATGCCTTAATATTTCTTTATTATTTCTTAATACATTTGATCACAGTCCATTAAAAATAGCCCTAATTTGAAAAAGCTTTTATTTTGAAATAAAAATGTTCTCTTGCAGAGACTTTTCTGAGGTATATCAGCTAAAATCATGACATMTTTTTTCAGCTGGACTGTCATCAGCTAAAGTTTGATCATTTTTATTCTTGTCAAAATAAAAGTTTTGATAAATTTTGTTCAGTTTTAATATTTAAAATATCCAGCRGGCATGATAAAAATGTAAGAAGGGCCATATCTGGCCCACAGAACTTCAGTTTGACTCACTATATAACAAAGACAGAAAAACTTTAATCTAAAATTTGGTCTAAGCTCTATTATTTTAACAAAAGCAGCTAAAAARTCTCAATTCCCAGTTTTTCATGTGAGCCTGAACGCATCACTGATTAAAAAACAAATCATTTCACTTTTTTCTTTTTTTTTAAGAACTAAAGTAACACTTTAAAAACACATAAATGTGGACTTACGTTGGTGCTGCTGTGAGGAACAGACCGGAAGTGGTGAAGGCGGCAGAGCGCGTGTCTGTGAGGGATGGATGCGCATCTCTGGCATTTTATGTCCTCTTTATCTTATCTTCTGCGCGTGGTCGCCTGAACCAACAGCGTCTGTCA